TAGTGGCCACTGTTCAAGAAAAACTACGGAGACTTAACATTGACACCAGAAACTATTTACATTCAGTAATCGAAAAATGTATAAAATTTGTATATAACATACAAAATGTATATATATACAAAAAATAGATATTTTTATTATTATTATTATTATTATTTTAAGAAGGGTTGTACAGCACCATTTTCCTAAAAAAAAAAACTATCCGAAATCAGGAAAAGAATTATTCCATTAAGTACTGAAATTGTCCTTTAGAATCATACTACAGCAGCTTTGCTTCAGGCATACCTTACGCACTTTCAACATGCTTTATTCGAACTAACATAATATACGTAAAACATCTAACTCGTAGCTCTTGTTAATTACCATATATAGCAAAATGAAACTTGGTGACGTTAAACGAATTTATCGGATAAAGTTTTATGACTTTCAAGATTGTTAAATCATAGTGTCAGATATATTGAAGCCCAATCCAAACATGTTTAATTAAAAGTCAATACAAAATAGTACGTAGTACTTGTTAGGCTATTTCCATATTAGTAGCTAAAACTTAACCTCTGTTGGTGATCAGAGTGAAATGGAGATTTTCCCTTACTAATAATAAAAATATAAGACTACTCTGCAAACGTAAAATGACAAAATGTATATCCCATCTTAACGCATATTCAAGATTAAAGAAATTAGGATGAGTGAGTCATAAGCGAATTCAGTGTTATGGGTCACTGAATATTACATTCACATTCGAAATCATCACTTCTTTTTTGTGCTTTTTCGATATCGACAGTTGACTTCAGCTGCAGTTCCCACCTTACGTGCAAGTATGTGAATCAATCTGTTATTGACTTCGATAATCCAGCAATGATAGAAACAACAAATGATGTGAACATATTAAGGTGAACGTGATATATACAAGAAAAAGTGAATTAGAAGAAGAGTGGAGAGCAACATGCATAGTAACTTGTGCAATTTTCATTTAATGATTCCAAACGAATTAAGAGTATAGAAGTCTTGTGTAGAAATCCAGTAATAGAAACTACCAGCACATGTTCTCCGACCAACTTGCTTAAATAACTTAACTGACTAGCTACTTGCTCTCTGCGAGTGTAGTCACGGCCTTAAATTATGTTTATATATATTTTTAGAATATATATGATTCTAGCTAAGCCTACACCAATCGCTAAACAAGAGACGTAAATGTAGTGATACTCCACAGTCATCCCTCATCACACTACTGAACCTAAAATGCTATATCCGCCTTTGTTCTTACTTTGATGAGATTCAGCTTCTTCTGCAGATAAACTCGATTCAGAATATCATACCATGCTCAACCACAATAGTCTTATTACCATGGGGTAAGACTTAAGGGTGGCAAAAGTAACCCAAACTTATTTGACCCGCCCAATCCGCCCAAATTTTAATGGGTTTGGGCTAGAATAATTTTAATTATAGACGGTTTTGGGCTAGCCCAAGTTAATGTGAAAATAGCATGGACTAGTCAGTTTTCGAAATGGTAAATAGAAAATAGCTGGTGTTTGCAAAGTCATTAAAAAATTATTTTGCTGCGACACAGAAAGTTTCAGCATAATATACTGGAGATTGGTGTACCTGTGTATTAATTTCCAGCATATTATGCTGGAACTCCAACATATGGAAAGTTCCAGCATAATGCACATGTGTATGAACATCTAGCATATTATGCTCGACCAATATATTATTGTATACGGTTAAAATCGGAGAGTCCGATTTTATGATCATTATGTCATTCCAAAGCCCGTCTCCAGAAGGCTCAAGGCACAGCTCGAGGTTCGACCCCGAGGGTTCCCTATACTCGATCTCGGGGCAGCGCAAATCGGTGGCTATCATGGATAAGCGGGAAATTCCTAAGGCACATGGTCAAAATTGACAACGCCTGCAAGAATAGTACGAGTCTGTACTGGACCATTATGTAGTTGTACCAGCTACGTTTCTTTGTAATAATTATACATGTACCATGTTGGGATTCCCCCTCCTACATAAAGGGGACCCTTGTCATTTCTTGCACACAAAATATTCAATACAAGAACAAGAACATTCTCTGCTCTCTAACTTAAACATTTTCCATTGTCTTTCCTTTGATTCATTGCTTACATTTATTGCGTTTCATTGATTGTTCCCCATTTATTATTCATCATTGATCATAAAGAGCCATTATTGAGGCCCTTGGAACTGTTAGTCCTTCATCGATCGCTTAACAACTAGCATTAAAATAAATCACGTATTTTTAAAACCACAAAATCAAATCTAATTGTAATTACTATTTTCAAGGTAAATAATTATGCTGGAATATTTTGCGGATTTTGAACAGTATTTTCGTTCAGGTTTATCTTTACATGAAAAGTGGTTAAATTTCGATTACCTTTGAAACTGACTATTTTTCAATTACTACTTAGAAATCTGGCTATTTTTTAATTTCACCCCAAGTTAGCCTATCAAAAAGTATCAGCCCAAATGGACCTATAATGATGCCCAACCTTGACCCGTAAAAATGCTCAGTCTTAGAGTTCTAACTTGACCCTAATGAAAACTGAAAATATTTTCTAATTTTTCCGTGTACGGTTGGTTTAAATATTTGAATTACATTTTCTTTATGAATTCATTTTTCTCCAATTGGAGGAAAATATTTTTCTGAAAATGTTTTCCAAAACTTTTTTTCAACCTTCCAAAACTAACTGTTGTTGACAAAAATAATCATCAAACATGAAAATAATCTGAAAATAAAGAAGAAACACGTTATCACAACAGAAAAACAACAAATAAAATGTATATCAATAAAATAAAGGACGGCTACTGAGCTACTTTTTAAGTATCACAATAAAATAAAATAAAATAAAATACTCATTTTGTAAAAAAGAAATACTTTTTCTATATTATGAAAAAGGTACTTTTTCTACTGAAATGAAAAAATATATATTTTTTCTACATCATAAAAAGAAAATATTTATTTTGTTTAAATAAAAAAGAAAACACTCTAATTTTAGGGGTGGGGTGGGGTTCGAGG